CTCGACACCGAGTTCACTGGCCCCCGTGAGGTCGGCTGCCTGGGCCGCTCTCTGTTTCGGTCACTGCCGCATCCCTGTGCGCTGTACGCACTGACGGGGCGCGAAGAGAGTGGACGGATGCGTGAATGAGCGCACGCCTTGCCCAGAGGAGACCATGCCCTCCCCAGGGCTCCCGCCACCTGCTGCCCTTGGCCCCATCTGCGCCCTGACCCCGCCCCTCCCCTGCAGTCGGCCGCTGAGTCAGAGATATCCGAGATCGTCATCATCCAGGGCGAGATTGACTTGGCCCTCAGGAACCTGCGGGCCTGGATGAAGGACGAGAAAGCGTCCACGAACCTGGTGAGCCGGCCTGGGGTCGGGTGGGCAGGTGCGCTCTGGGGTGGGGGCAGTTACTGGGCAGCCTCTTCTATGGGGGGAGCTGTTGAGGGGCTGGGGTCTCAGCGCCTCACGACTCACCACCACGTGGGCCCCGGCACAGGTCACGCAGCTGGACTCCGCCTTCATCCACAAGGAGCCCTTCGGCCTGGTGCTCATCATCGCCCCCTGGAACTACCCCCTGAACTTGACCCTGGTGCCCCTGGTAGGCGCCCTCGCAGCAGGTGAGGGGAGGGTCTCCAGCCCCACGTCTCATGTCTCATCCGCACAAAAATCCTTCCAAAACAAAGCCCCCAGAACTCCATCATGAAGTGAGCAGCTTCCCCCGCCTTCCCGTGTCTCTGCCCTCCGAAGCCGGCCCTGGGGGTGTCCCCCCGCCCCCACGTCTTCCCCATCTGCCCCTGCAGGCAACTGCGTGGTACTGAAGCCATCGGAATTAAGCCAGAGCACAGAGAGGGTCCTGGCCGAGGTGCTGCCCCGGTACCTGGACCAGGGGAGGGTGGCACTGCCCCGTCGGCCCCCATGTCCCACCTCCCTGCCCCTGCCAGCTGGGGAGGTCCAGCTGTCCCCAGGGCCGGCAGTGTCCCCTGAGCCACCTGTTGCCTCGCAGAGCTGCTTTGCCGTGGCGCTGGGCGGGCCCGAGGAGACGGGGCGGCTGCTGGAACACAAGTTCGACTACATCTTCTTCACGGGTGAGGGTAGCCCCGGCCAGTGTCCTGGGGGAGCAGGGACCTCCGAGAGCAGGGTCAGGAAGGCAGTGGGGGGAGGAGGCTGTGCCGAGAGGTGGGCAGCACCCCAGGTGGCGGGCAGCCGAGCCTCTGGGCCTTGGAGGGGTGGGAACCTGGGGCGGCAGGGCTGGGCGTGGATCTCAGATGGTGCCTGGGCCACCTGGCCAAGGTCAGCTGACAATGGCAGTCAACTCCCATGTCCCCAGGAAGCCCTCGGGTCGGCAAGATTGTCATGGCCGCTGCCTCCAAGCACCTGACGCCTGTCACGCTGGAGCTGGGGGGCAAGAACCCCTGCTACGTGGACGACGACTGCGACCCCCAGACCGTGGCCAACCGCGTGGCCTTCTTCCGCTACTTCAACACCGGCCAGACCTGCGTGGTCCCCGACTATGTCCTGTGCAGCCCCGAAACGCAGGAGCGGCTGCTGCCGGCCCTGCAGAATGCCATCACCCGTTTCTACGGCGAAGACCCCAAGAGCTCCCCCAACCTGGGCCGGATCATCAACGAGAAGCATTTCCAGCGGCTCCGGGGCCTGCTGGACTGTGGCCGCGTGGCCATCGGGGGCCAGAGCGACGAGAGCGAGCGCTACATCGGTGAGTTCCGTGCGCCCACCGCCGCACCCCGGCTGAGGCCCTGCCCCGCTGCGCCCACCGCTGGGCCCGAGTCTGGGCCCGACTCGAAACCTCGGCCCTGCGGAGCCCAGCTCAGTCCACGGCTCCGCTGCCAGGAGTCCTGGGCACCAATGCCCACGTCCCCGTGGTCTGGGCCTGTGACCCCGCGACCCCACACTCTGGCCCAGGCCCTGCTTTTCTGAGCCGGCCCCAGCGTCCCAGCCTCCGCCTGACACCGTGACCCCGGCCCTGGGAGCCCACGATTTCCGGGTCTGAGCTGTGACCACGGCCCCTCCTGAGCACCCACGGAGCTGTCATTACAAAGCAGCCCCCGGCTCCCGGGCCGAAGGGCTCAGCGGTGACACTGCTGCTCCAACAGGCTGGGACCTGGGACCTGGGACCTCGGGCTCTAGGGGTCTGAGATCCAGCCACCTCTGACTGTAAGACCAAAGCTGGGGTTCTCTGGGCCCCGCAGGCCCCCGTCCATGCCGCTTATTCCCTAGAACCCCCCGAGCCTGGAGCCCTGGGTCCCTGGTTCCCATCCGAGGCCCCAGCCCTGGGCTGAGCCGCCCCTGTGCCCGGGCAGCCCCCACGGTGCTGGTGGACGTGCAGGACACGGAGCCGGTGATGCAGGAGGAGATCTTCGGGCCCATCCTGCCCATCATGAACGTGAGGGGCCTGGACGAGGCCATCGATTTCATCAACCGTCGGGAGAAGCCCTTGGCCCTGTATGCCTTCTCCAACAGCAGCCAGGTGGGGGCTCAGGCAGGGCTGGGCAATAGAGAGGTTCCAAGCAGTCCAGACTGTCAACGTCCCTTTCATAGCCTACCCCATCCCGGCCACCTGGACAATGGCTCCCTGCACAGGGGCGCCTGGCACTGAGGGCCGGGGCAGCAGCAAACCTGCCAGATGCGTGGCTGCTCAGCCACCTGCCCTTAGCGGTGCAGCCTACACCCGGACAGAGAACCCCATGCCTGCCCGAGAACTCCCTTTTTTAAAACTGCATGAAGGTTCTGACGGACAGGCAGGACGCCCTCGGTGAATGGCGGCAGAGCTGAGCTGGGACCAGGCTGTGCGGTGCTGGTGCTTGCCACCCTCACCGCCGTGTCTTCCTCTCTGGGTCGAGAGTGCTTGCTCGGCAGAGTATGGAGGCAGGGGAAGCTCCTGGGCTCTTGTGGGTTGGCAGGGCCCCAAGCCCCCTTTCTGAGTGACCGGCCCACCACCCTGCCTGCCCTGCCTGCACACAGGTAGTGAAACAGGTACTGGACCGGACCAACAGCGGCATCTTCGGAGGCAATAAGGGCTTCATGCACTTGACTCTGCCAACCCTGCCTCTGGGAGGAGTCGGTGAGCTCTGCCCTCCTCCACCCTCCAGCCCCCACCCCGGGGGAGCCTGGCTCGGCACCCCAGATCCAGGAAGGCTCAGTTTTGCCTTCATTCGCTGTTCGAACTTGACCCAGGTCCTGGGCCTCTCAAGGCCTCAGTTTCCCTATGGGCAGAAAGGCCCTTAGGATGGCGTGGCTTTCCGTGAGCGGTGGGCTCCAGCCAGGCAGTGGGCTGCTACCGAGGCTCGGTGGGGCCGCGCAGCCTCAGATCCCCCCACTCCCGCACCCATGCAGGCAACAGCGGGATGGGAAGGTACCACGGCAAGTTCTCCTTCGACACTTTCTCCCACCACCGCGCCTGCCTGCTGTGCTCTGCAGGCCTGGAGAAGCTGAACCAAATCATCTACCCGCCCTACCCGGACTGGAAGAAGAAGCTGATAAACTGGATGTTGAGCACGCAGACCTGCACCATTCTGTGAGCCCTGCGCCCGCCCCCAGAACCTCACCCCCCGCCCCCAAGCGCTGGATCCACTGCTGTCCAGGTGCTCAGGGGTCGCTAAGTGTGGGTGTCCCAGCTGGGAGTGCACAGGCCTGCTCCCGGGGCTCCGTCTGAATAGTCTCCCCACCGCCAGGCAGGACCGCTGGGCTGCTGGGCCACCCTTTTCAAGGCCGAAGTCCCCTCTGTATCCTCCTAACAGATTCGTTGACCCTCTGCTTGGATATGTCTGGCGACGGAGCTCTCACCTACCACGAGGGCGGGCAGCTCCTATAGTTAGAAAGGACTCCCTTGTATCAGATCTGTAATCAGCTCCCCAAAATACAGCTCCATTCACACCTGGTTTAGGGAGCTGGGTTTGTCTGACCTGAAGTGACCTGATCTTGAGCTCAGATCTGGCCAGTCGTCTGAACTATGTAATCGATACGAACCCTGAGGATGTGTGTGGAATCGATAGGAGGGCATGAAACCGCGGACTAGTGATGTCTGCCATGGACCCGGGAGGGGGTTGTGCGTGCACGTGGTCACCGCCGTCATCCCTGCTCTAGACTCCCAGAAGCAGGTCAGAGCGGGCAGAGGCTAAGTCTGGCCACTTCGTCCGACACATGGGGAAACTGAGGTCTAGAGACAGGACAGGGCCGAAGTGAGTTTATGCAGGAAAGCAGGGCAGAGCTGAGCGATCGTGGGCTTTACGGAGAAACGCGAGGTGGGCGTCAGCAAGCACAGCATGTCTGGCCCGTTGTGTCCAGCCTCTTGCTCTCTCCCTAGTCCTCAACCTGGCAGCCCACTTCCAATCCTCATCTTGCTTTGCTGGGCTCCTCCCGCCCCCGAGCCACGGGAAAACTGGACTAGTGGCCCGAGGCTGAGGGGAAGAAGGGGAAGTATGACCTTCCTGCTCCCCTGGGAAGTGTTGGGGAGGTGCTTAAAAGGGGCTTATTGATGAGTGAAGGAAAGAATGAATAAAGAAGTGAGAGAATGAACAGACGGAAGGGTGGGCTTGTGGAGGGATGGATGCACGAATGGGGGGAGGGGGGATGGGGGGATGGGGGGATGGATAGGTGGGTGAGATCATGGGTGGGCAGAAGGGCAAGTGAGTGGCTGGGTGAATGGATGACTGAGATGATGGATAGATGGGCGAGTGGATGCACGAACTGATGGATGGATACGTGGTCCAGGTAGAAGCTGAGTGACCCATGGGCTTGGGTCTAGGAGAGCCCCCAGGCTCCCTCCCTCTGCCCTGGGAAGTTGTTTTCTCAAAATGACCACTGGGCTGAAAAGAGAGAGCCAGAGGAATTGAGAAGAACTGGAGGGTCTCCGGGCCGCAGTCTGGGCGGTGGGTCTAGCGAGCAAAGAACAGAAGATACCGCTCATTAAAGGGTCTTCGGAAATTCTCAGCTCTCACAGCACCTAATCTCGTTCCCTTTGCTCTCTCGGTCATTGGTTGCTGTGGTTCAGAGAGGGGACAAAGTCCCTGAGGGAAATGTGGCTCTGGGAGGCCACTAGGAGTGGGGGTAAGAAGGGAAGTCCCAAATGCCAGCCTCACTCTCGACTGGTAGAGCGAGTCACATGACTGCATCCTGGATGGAAGGGAGGGTAAAAGCAGGTCTGCACCTCTACCCTGGGCAACTGCTCAAGAGAAGCCACAAGTGTGACGAGCGTCATACTTGTCACTCGCCCTCCCCAGGTCCAGGTCTCTCATTCATGGCTGACCAGGCCCAGTCCTAGAGACAGGGTCATCCACACAGAGCACGAAGACTGTGTCCTGCTTTTTCTGACCCAGCACACGGAGGGTCCAAGAGCCTCGAGCTCCTCCAGGCCGCTGCTCTCTCTACCCAGTTCCCCCTCCCGCCCACCTCTGCCCCAGCCCCAACTCTGCTCGGGTACTGCCTCCCCCAGGAGTCCCTCCCAAATTCCAGACTGGCCTCTGGGGCCCCAGAGTGGCTCACACAGCACCCTACCCTTGCCTGCCGTAGCTCTGACTCCTGGGAAGCTGGGGTGAGCATTGCTCCTTGTCACATCGTCACCGAGTGCCTTTGGGCACACCCTTCACTTCTCCGAGACTCTCGTTTTCTTGTCTTAGAGAATGGGGTTCCCGCTCACTTCTTAGGGTTGGTGTGAGGGTTAGGTGGGATCACACGTGTCTGGGGTCCAGGGTTCCCCACTCCGGGATGTAGTGGAGTCCAGACTCATCTAAGCCAAGCCAGTGCTGGGCACAGAGGCCCTGGCAGCAGAGCGGGCAGAGGGGCCCCTGACCACACACCTTCCAGAGCTTCCGAGGGCTCTGTCATGGTCTCTGGGTCTGTGACACAGTCTCTCTTCGTCCAGCAGTCACGGCATTCTGCTGCCTGAGGCTTGGAGGCCATCCCAGCTCCCTTGGGATGAAGGTCAGCTTCAGGCCCAGATGCTGGTTCCGCTGTGCTAACTGGCCGTAGCCCAGAGTGAGCCAGTAAGAAAAACTACAATATGGGCTGAGTCTTCCTTCCACCCCCAGCCCGGGACACCAGGCCCGCCGGAAGGAGTGTGCAGGGTGGTCCTAGCACGGGGCGGGGGGTGGGGGGACGGGATAGAGGAGCAGGCTGTCATGAAAGGACTCAGTCAGGGCTTGAGCAGAGGCCAAAGGAGCAGTTGGAGCCTGGAGAGAATGACGGACGATCAGGCAGGGGGCTCTGAGCTACTGGACAGTGGCCCTTAGGAGTATCTCGCAGGTCACATGGCTCTCCTGGGCCAAGCCTTACAATTTTGTGGATGGGCTCAGGTTTCGACCCCTCTCTGGGCCTCAGTTTCCCAACTTCAGTAAAGAAGTTGGACCCGTTGACACACACGACGCCTCCGCCCTCCGTCACGCCAGGGTCTACAGCGTGTGTGTCCGTGTCCGTGCGTGGGCTGCCACCTCCTCTCCCTCGTTCCTTGCAGCTGCCTGGGCCTGGGGGAGGCCTTGGCCCCCATTTCACAGGCAGGAGCCAAGGCCCAGAGAGGGTCCTGACCCTCCCCACGTCACACAGCCTGTCGGGGGTGGGCGGCAGAGCCAAGTGGGCCTGGGGAGCCTTCTCCTTCCTGGGCACGGAGGCGGGACTCAGCGGGCTCCCCTCCAGACTGTTCTCACAGCTGTGACACAGACGCAAGTCGGTACACACGACACGGACTTGGACACACACATGTGCACGGCCGGGATTCGGGGCTGCTATTTCTGGGGGGCTCTTGACTCAGCGCCCGGACCGCCTTCCATTCGGAAAATACCCTCGGGAACAAGGGAAGCTGGACCCCCACCAAGGGAAGTGAAACTTTCCAGGACCTCCTGCTACTGTCCTCTCCAGAACTGGGGGCCCAGCACCTCCAGGGCAAGAAGTGCCCTGGCTTCCAGAGCCCCCCAAAATAGCGAGGTCTGCTGAGCAGCCCCTTCCTTCCTCCCCCAAAGGCCCAGCACCAAGTCGGCAGAATCCTGGCTGAGCCGGGCACCTCTCTGTTGGAGACCTTGGCTTCTGACTCACAACTGCAGAGTGTACTGGTGGGAGGCACGGGGAGGAAACAGGCTCACGCTCCACCAGCATCCATCGGTCTCGGCCAAGTCATTCCAGCTCCGAGAACCCAGGCCCCACCGTAAAACAAAGCAAGCTACCCGCCCTTTGCTGCCCTCCAGGGCCGGTGCAGGCGAAGACTCAGTGACCCCGATGGCGGTCTCTGCCTTTCCTTTGCTGCCCTCCAGACCCCAAGAGTGGGCGCCCCCACAGAGAAGCTATCGGGAAGCCTTGGCCCCCTGGGCGACTTAGCTTCACACTTCGTCACCCCTGCCCATATCAAGGCACTTGTTGCTTTGATGGGAGCCACGGTCCCCGTGGGTCGGGGTGGAGGGCAGGAGAGCAGAGGCAGGCCCAGACCTTGCGTCTGGTCGGAGCAGCTCCGAAGAGGCTTGGCCTGGAGGCACCTGGCCACTGGAGTCCTCAGCTGGTGGGCTTGGTTCTGGCCAGGGCTAAACTGGCCTGGGAGTGAAGTCGGCCTGAGACCAGATGTCCAACCTCGGCGCCGTAGTGCCTGGCATGGAGCAGGCACAGGGTGACCGTACTGGACAGTTCACTACCCAGTTCTGCCTATCTTTCCAGTGACGTCTGGGCTACCCCAGAGGCCGTGAAGGAGCCTTGGGAGGTGCGTGGTCAGGGGCCCCCTCTGCCGCCAGGGCCTCTGTGCCCAGGTCATGTAAGAGTCTGGACTCCACTGCATCCCGGAGTGGGGACCCCTGCACCCCAGACACCTGTGAACCTACTTAATGCTCACACCAACTCTAAGCCTGGGGCAGGGAGAGGCCCAGAGGGTGGGCCCAGGTGGGACACCCCCAGGGTCCAGCTCCAGCTCCACCTCTAGCGCCCTGGGCACCCTTGGGCGCTCTGTCCGAACACCAGGTACTACATCTGTGAAATGGGTCTGAGAGGGTCGTTCCCAAAACAAAGCAGGCTGAATCACTGAGTTATGCCTGTCCCTCGTGGGGCTGCCAGGACAGACGCGTGTTGCTGAGAGGGTGAAGGGGAGGGGAACTTTCTCATCTGAGTGGCCACCAAGGCACACATCTCAATAAACAACTCGCAGTGGCCTGGTCTGGTGGTGGCTCCTGGCTCAGTTCCTGGCTCGAAGGTTGCATTCCAAGCTGGCTGGCCCTTGGCTGGACACCTGTGCATTGAACAGCCTGTGCTTGGCAGCCCTCCTGGCTCTCCTGGCTGAGGGTGAGGGCTCACCTTCGCCCCAGGCCTTAAAGAGTCCCTACAAGTAATTGTCCAAGACCATGCACAGCTCCCCGGTAGGAGCCCTAACAGCTCTGGGAGGTGGGGCTGTCTCTATTCCCAGAGGGCAGAGGGCAAGGACCAGAGTCTGGCTGCAGAACCCGAACTCCACGGGCCATAGCACCAGCCAGTAGCAACGTGGGGTGGAGCTGGATGGGGAGACCCCAGGCTCCTGACCTCTGGCTGGATCTCAGCTAGCACCGCCCACACCCTGCTCTCTGCCGACTTCCTGCCCAGGGATCTCCAGGCCCATAAATAACCACCGGTCCCGGAGCTGCATACCACAGCCCTGGAGTCCCAGAAAGTCCAGAACCCCAACAGCAGGTAACCACCCCGCTCTCTGAGGCCCCTGCACTGGCTCGGATGGGCACATGGAAGGGGCAGGAAGGGGCAGGAGTGGCTGGGAACCCCAACACACCACAGCTAACGTGCCTAATGCCCTCCGCTCCCCACGCTGGGCCCTGGTTTCCCATCTTAAAGTGGGAGCATATCCTCTTGCTGCAGGGAGCGGCGGGCCTTGGTGGCTCCATCACCCCGAATGTCTGCGCCCCTCTTCTCGGCTCAGGAGAAAGAAGCTCCTTCTCTGCAGAGGGAGCAGGGAAATGGTCTCGGAGAAGGCGGGGGAGGGCTAATGGGGGCTGCAGGCACCAGGAGGAACAGACTTTGAACTGGGCCACTGGGGGTGCTGTGGGACTCAGCTGAGCCACCAGGCAGCTACACCTTTTGGCAGGCAGCTGCCCCAGCGGCTTGGACCTGTCAGACCTCAGGGAGCTCTCGCCACCGTCCCAGCTCCACGCTGCGCCCTGCACCCGAGTTGAGGCCACCCCGGCAGGTGCACACACCGGGCCCTGCATCCCCCCCCGCAGGATGTGCTCACTGCCTGTGCCCCAAGAGCCGCTGCGTCGTGTGGCAGTGACTGGGGGCACCCACGGCAACGAGATGTCTGGAGTCTGCCTGGTCCAGCAGTGGCTTCGGGACCCGGGGGAGCTGCAGAGAGCCAGCTTCGCCGCCGTGCCGGTGCTGGCCAATCCGGCGGCCACAGCCGCCTGCCGCCGCTACGTGGACTGCGACCTCAACCGCGTCTTCACCAGCACCTTCCTCACGTCAGTGTCCTCGCCACGGGGTGGGGGAGCCCTTGCCCACACCGAGGTCCTCACCTCAAACTCCCCTCCAGCCACCAGCAGGGCATGTGCCTCTGCTTGCAATGCCGAGTCTTCTTTTTTCAGTTTAGAGGAATCCAGACTGGTGGTACCTCCTCCAGGAAGCCCTTCCTGATTCCAGGCCAGGTCAGGGCCTCCTCTGGGCATCCTAGATCCAAGGCTTGCCTCAGATCAGCCCCACAGGTCAAAGCGACTTGTCTAGTGCCCCGACCACCGTTTCACGCCTTCCTTCAGTGGATAGTTGCTGAGCTCCATCTCTGAGCCAGGCTCTGGCCGGCTCAGGTGAGAGAATGGGGAGTAGGACCGAGGCACCGTCCTCTGCTTACTAGGGGAGACAGAGGAAGAACCGGCAACCACAACCCAGGAGGCTAAACGCAGGGGTAGGGGCTACACAAAGCTTCTACCCTGGCCAAGGGCAGTCAGGGAAGGCTTCCTGGAGGAGGCGGTATCTCAGCTAAACCCTAAAGGGCAAGTGGATGTTAACCAGGTGAAGGGAGGAGCGAAAGAGTTTCCAGGGAAAGACCCGGCAGGTGCAAAGGTCTGGAAGCGAGGCCAGCATGGCGCTTGGAAGTGCGGCTGGAGCGAGAGCTGATAAAGCAGGCAGGCAGGGCCAGGCTGAGGGTTTGAACCTTATGGGGGTGGGGGGGGAGCCAATGCGGGCCCCAAGGGGGGCAGGCATGCCACCGAGGCACGAAGGATGAGGCCTTGAGCTGCTCTGTCTCTCCCGCAGGGTCTGAGGCGTGACGGGTGTCACTCCTGTCAGCTCAGCCATGAAGTCTCTGATGACAGACTGAGACTGTCAGTGGCTGACAACCCTGTCCCTGCCCTTGCAGTGCCAGGGCCCACCCAGATGACCCATACGAGGTGACGAGGGCCCGAGAACTGAACCAGCTGCTGGGGCCCAAAGCCTCCGGCCGGGCGTTCGACTTTGTCCTCGACTTGCACAACACCACGGCCAACATGGGCACGTGCCTCTTAGTGAAAACGACCCACGACATCTTTGCCTTGCACATGTGCCACCACCTACAGGTGGCCCTGTGTCCCCAGAGTGCTGAGCGAGCGGTGGGGGGTGTTTCTCTGGGTGCTTGCCCCTGGGACTGGCCAGCTGCAGGTCCTCCAGGTCCTTTGGACGCCCCCCATCTCCCCTCCCCAAGAGCTGGCCCGTGCTTTCTCCATGTCCTCCCTCTGCCTCAGTTTCCCCTGGGGCCCTGACCCACCTATCTGCTCACAGCTGCAGAACCCAGAGCTGCCCTTCCTCGTCTCTGTGGACCAGCATCCTGGAGAAGAGACTTACGACATGACCTCGGTGGCCAAGAATGGAATAGGTGGGCTGTGACCTCTGGAGAAGTTAGCAGGGCGAGAAGGGCAGGGCCAGATAATGGGAGGTGTGAGGGGCCTGGGGTGTGGAGTCCCCCATCTCTGGGGCACCTGCTTGACCACATCCCTCCCGGTCCCCAGGTCTGGAGCTGGGCCCCCAGCCTCAGGGCGTGCTGCGGGCTGACCTCTTGACCAGGATGAGGGCCCTGGTGGCTAAGGTTCTAGACTTCATCCAGCTTTTCAACCAGGGTGAGACTCCCAGGACCTGCTGGGAAACTGAGGCCCAGAGAAGCCTGGCCCCAAGGCTAAGGAGTCAGGGTCTTGGGTGGGCTGGGAACCATCCCAGAGTGGCCCCCATGGCCCATGCCATCCCAGACCTGGACGGAGGGACTGGCTCACGCACGGGGACCCCCACCCAGGCACAGCCTTTCCTGCCTTTGAGATGGAAGCATATAGGATTGTGAGGAGTGTGGACTTCCCGCGAACCGAGGCTGGGGACCTGGCAGGCACCGTGCACCCTCAGCTGCAGGTGTGTGTGTTTTGCGGGGGGAAGGTGGGGAGACACTCCTGGGTCACACTCTTGGGAGTGTCAGAAAACTGAGGTCCAGAGGCAGGGAGGGACCACAGCGCCTCCCACGGAGTCACCAGCACCTCAGAATTAGGAGCAGGAAGGCAGTAGCCTGGGGCCCAACGTCCGGCCTCTACTGCCTCTCCCGGAACCCTGAGTGCGAACAAGCCTGAAACTCTGGGCCCCAGTGATGCTCACAGTGCTCTAGGGGACTCCCCCACAGGCTGGACAGCTTCTCCCAGCCATAGACGGAGGGAGGGGGTGTGGAGCAGGCATGACCCAGGGGTCTGCTTGGATGTGCAAACATTGAGCCCTCACTATGCACGCTAGCAGGGAGTCCCTCATTCCCCTCTCTAGGCCTCCCCTTCCTGAATGTTCCAGAAACGGGGTAATCTCGCCTCTCTCCTGGCGGGGAGAAGGTTGGGGAAAATGGGCAGCTCACCAGGTGCTGTTCTGCTTGCTGCCACTTGGGGTCGCTGTGGAACGCGGCCGCTTCCCTCCAGAGGCCTTTGCTTCCTGAGTCCCCCATGTGGCCTTCAGAGGGGAGAGGGACTTCAGAGGGGGGCCGCCTGCTCTGTCGGCCCCCGCCGCCCCCACTCGCACTTCACAGCTCAGCCGCTGAGCTAAGTAACCAGCCAGAGCCCCCTTCTTGCGGGCCAGAAGGGTATTCTCCTGTCAGTGGAACCCAGAAGGGGGACGGCTCCAGTGTCAGAGGTGATCGAGCACCTCTGAACCTCTGTAAGGATGGGGGTCTGTCTCAGGGGCCTCCACCTCCCCGAGTCAGCCCTCTTCATCCCCCAGCATGGGGGGGAGAATGACCCAGCAGACAGACTTGGCACGCACTGGGGCACCCCAGATGAACACTGAGAGAGAAATATTGAGAAGAATTTGACCCATCGGAAACATTCCAGGGGACCAAAGTAACAATTGTAGGAGAAATCAGAACTCGGTCGGACTTTTTTCTCTGCTTACTGCTTCGTGTCTTATTCTGAGGCATCATCTTGCTTGTAACAACATTTTGGTCGAGGGGCTCTGTCCTTTGAGCGTGGACAGAGCCCCTGGAGTCTTAAGCCGCCCCGCCCATCTCCTTGGAGAGGCTAAGTAATCACAGTCATTCTGAGTCGTTTCTTCCGCAATTTAAAAATTTATTTAATAAACGTTTCTATTGCGTTTCCTGAGCGCCAGACACTGTTTTAAGCACTAATAGCCATTTAATTTGAACCTCGGGATGATGGGGGAGGGGCTGTGGTTTCTGTGAAGAACAGAGAGGTTAGGTGACCTGCCCCGGGTTAGCGAGAGTTTGAACCCCGGCCTCCCTGTCTATGCCCTTGACCTGCGGGCTACACTTCCGCAATGTTGCTGGTCTTTCTGAGGTGACCGGTGTCTCCATTTCTAGACGCAGGGACAGCTGGCGTCTCAGCAGACACCCTGTCACACTGAGGGAGTGAAGGAGCGAGTGAGAGAAGCCACGAGCGAGGGGCATCTCTTGGGCAGTCCCTGCTGGGGTTGTCCCCACTGGGGCCAGGGCACAGGTCAGCCCGGCAACCTTGGCCCTTGGCTCTCCTCCCAGGACCGAGACTTCGAGCCGCTGCGGCCGGGTGCACCCATCTTCCAGATGTTCAGCGGCGAGGACGTGCTCTATGAGGGGGAGTCCACCGTATACCCCATCTTCATCAACGAGGCCGCCTACTATGAGAAGGGCATTGCCTTCTTCCAGACTGAGAAGCTCACGCTCTCTGTGCCTGCTCTGCCCGCCCTGGCCCCCACCCCCAGCCCAGGTCCCTAGCCCGGGTCGCACCTGCCCCACCCTCAGCCCTCCCAGCTGAGGCACGATCCCCTGCTCAGGGGTCCCCTTTGCCACCTGCTATATGATTCTTGTCACACCCTCACCTCCCTTCCTCGGTTTCCCATTCTATAAAGTGGAAGCTGTCCAGGGGTCCGTGGTTTGTGTCCTCTGTCCCCTTGGCCCCTCCCTGTGGCCTCAGGATCTGGAGCAGATCTGGGCCTGGACATGCTGTGTGTCCTGGGGCCAGTGGGAGCTGTCTCTGTGCCCGTGCTTATCCAGGGAAGATCTTATACTGTGGGTGCGGGGTCAGGGGGTGCAGACTTGGAGAAAGACTGTCCTGGGGCCAGCAGAGGGGGTTCCAGAGGCCATGATCAGAGTGGTGTCGCCAACCCCCTATGCTCTGGGGCTACAGAATCAGTCAGGGGAGCAGGGGTGTGTGCCCGTGTACATGCACACATGTGGGGTGCCGCATGAGCCTCCCCCAGATGCTGCTTCCCAGAGCCTCAGAGCCTTGGCTGTTCCTCTGGGTCTGTATGTGGCCAAGAGCACAGCCCAGATGTGCATCCCAGGTGTGGGATGGGCCTGATGCCCCTGGGCACTCCAGGGCAGTCAGGGTTGGGGAAGGGGCGACTCGACCAGGGCACACAGGGAGAAGGTGCCTTGGCGTGGGGCAGGGGGAGTCCTACCAGGGAGACAGAGGTTCCTCCGCCACCAATGTCAGGGAAGGAATGGGCACAGGGTCTGCTGCTGGGGTCCCCAGGTCCTGGCCAGGCACTCTGCAGGGCGTCCACGGCAGGACCGAACGGGCGGGCCAGGTGGAGCCCTGAGACCGCTGCCCACGCCCACCTGAGCCCAACAGGATGACAAGACATAGCTCCTGGTTGACAGCGGGGCTGATGGAGCCCAGAGCTCTGTCCTCGGAAGGCATCGCAAGGCATCGCTCCCTGGCCCCCTCCACGCTCTGGCCTGGCCCATCCGTCTCCCTGAGGCCACAGCTGCCATGCCGCTGCCTCCTGCTACTGAGCAGCGAGATGAGAAGGTGTGAAGAATTCCAAGGCACCAGGGACGGGCTGGCAGGCAAGATGGATGAGGGGGCAGAGGGCCAGGAGGCGCCTTCGGCAGGAAGGCTGGCCATCCAGGGAGGAGGCTGTGCGGGGAGGCACGCCAGCATGTGCGGGGTGGAGGGGGGACGTGTGGGAGCATGTGTATCCGTGCACACACACACACACACACACACACACGTCATGAGCCAACAGAACACAGGTTGGCCCACCCCTGGGGCTTCGAGCTGAGAAGCATGTGTACGTGCACACACACACACACACACACACACACGTCATGAGCCAACAGAACACAGGTTGGCCCACCCCTGGGGCTTCGAGCTGAAAGAGAGCCACCAGGCCATTCTGTCATCTCTACCACTTCCCACTCGCCCCACTGTGGGTCCTGGGGCAGGCTGGCATGGCCACGCCCCACTGAGCAGCCCCTGGGTGCCGCCGAGACCCTCCATCACAAGCAGAGAACTCCTCCCCGTCCTGCCTGGTGGCAACCCCCAGAGCTGATGCAGCCTTTCCCCACCGCTGGAGCAGGTGTGTGCCAGGGCTGGCCCCTCCCTGTGGACTCTCGCCCAGCTGGGCAGGCAGGCACCTGGGACCTAGGGACTGAAGCAGCAGGCACGCCCAAGCTGAAGAGAAGCGAGGTGTGCATGAGGCATGCGGCTCAGGGAGGGGCCAGGTGTCACGCTTGGAGAGAAGCAGCCCCTCTGACTTGGCCCCTCTGTGCTCCCTCTTAAGTACGGGCCTCTGTCAACCCAACGTCCCCAGTGCCAGAGGCTGGAGGAGGTGGGTGGGAGCAGTCGAGCTGGCCTTAGGCACCCCAGTTGAGCATGCCCAGCCCAGCCTAGGGTGCTCTCACCCAGTGCTCTGGCCTGGGGGCTAACCTGGGGTGCTCCTTCCCCAAGTGGGCTAACCTGGCGTCCAGCCAGATGACCCTCCCTGGGCATGGCGCAGGGATCAAATCGCCAAACAGCACTCTTAACTGAGAGCAATCAGCTTCAGGGGACCCCACCCCGTCTGCCTTCCTTACTAGTGACCCATGTCCCCTGAGTGCTCAGCCCAGGACCAGTGGGGGGCAGCCTGGACAAGGTGCCTCGTCAGGCTGGAGAAAAGAGACAGACCCGTGGGCAGAGCAGATACCGCCCCAGCCACCTCCAACTTGGGCCAGCCTCCCACCCTCTGGGGACTATGTAGGTCCCCTCAACCAGGATGGGGAGGGATTATTGCTCCCCAGGGTGCGCCTGTCCATTCCAGGCAGAAGAGATTACGCATTTAGTTCAGGTGGGGAAACCAAGGCTTGCGGACGCTCAGGGACCTGCCTGCGTGACACGGCTCTGGCGGACCAGGCTTCTTCCCGCCCAGCCCAGGGGCTGTGCCTCTGCCGGCACTTGCCACCGCCGCCGCCTTGCGTTTCCTGCTGCTTCCACGCCGGCAGCCCCAGGTCAGGGGTCCGAGTCCTCGTGAGAGGGCACCGACTCTGCCATTCAGCCCTCAAAGCTGCTGCCACTACTGCGGGCTCCCCAGCTTCCCCATGGCCCCATCGACCCCCCAGCCCCTCCTGTCAGCCAGGCCTCGGCCCCTTTGGGCCCCCCAGCCTGTCCTCCACCCTGTGCTTGGGCCCATTGATCAGGAATGGCTGGGGGGCTCCTAGCTGGGAGGGAGGAGGCAGGAGGAGGACTGGGAGGGGGAGAGGGAGGCTTCGCCACGTCAGAGCCATCCCACCTGCCCTCCTCCCGCACAGCACAGCACCGAGCCTGGAGCTGGCCGAGCCCAGCCAGTGGCCTCAGACAGCACGGTGTGCGGGCGGCTTGGGGAGGGAACCCTGCACGGCCCAGAGCCTGGGTCCCCACTGCAGAGACCAGGTTCCGGGCTCCGGTGGAGAATCAAGACCTGAGCGATCCAGGAGAGGAGGACGGTCCTGCCAAGCGCCCGGGAGCGGAGCGAGCACCCGAGAGCCAAGCCGCGCTGCCGAATGGACCAGGAGACCCGGCGCGGCTGAGCCCCCTCTCCTGTAGGCAGGGGCCCCTCGGGTGGCGGCCACGGCACCGGCCCTAGCTGAGCAGGGCTTCTCCAGGAGCTGAGCGTCCAGGCTGTCCCCATGGCAGGTAGGGTGCGGGCAGCTGAGGCAGCCCCGTGGGTGGGCTCAGGCTTCAAGGTGAGTGGGGCAGAGCAGGGACTAGGCGTGGGGACAAAGGAAACCCCACTGGTCCCAGGCCCTGGGCAAGAGGGTGGGGCAGGGGCATCCCAGGCTGAGGCCTTGGATCCAGTCAGGGTGGGGATGATGGACTCACAGCCACCCAGGTGCAATTGCAGGGTGCTGACAGGCGGAACCGTTCCCGGGAGGGCAAAGCCTTTACGGTGTGGGGGGCCTTGGGCCTGTCCCCTCCTCTCTTCGGGCTCCGGCCCTTGCATATCAGCAAAAAGGCTGAACAAGACCTGACTCGATGCCTATGGGAAATTGTCACCTCCTGATCCTGAGGGATGTTGGCTTTCAAAGGGACTGGGGAGAGGACAGCCCCCTCCCAAGAGTTCCTCTGGGCTCTGGGGGTGGGGGTGGGGCATTGACCGGGATGGGCAGGAGGCTAGTAGAAGACTTGGGAGCCAGTGGCCAGCCTGTGAAGACCCCAGAGCCAGAGGAGCCATGAACTTCTTCCCTTGGGACCCAGCACCTCGGACCCTGGGGGCTGGCATCAGTTATCCCATGTGGGTGTCATGTGGCAGTTGCCCATCTTATGGGCCGGTCCCAGGTGGTGGAGGTCATCCCCTATCCACCGTTCATGCAGCTCTGATGTGGCTCATTACTGAGCATTCCCCTCCCAGGCCCCAGGAACGCCACTTCTCCCACGTGGTCCTGGGCCCCACACTGTCACCAGGCACCTACGCTGTGCCAGCTCTGACCAGGTGCTGCCCGTCTGTTAGATCGTTAGACGCTCTCTCCCATCTGTCTGTCTGTCTGTCTGTCCATCCTTCCAAAACTCCATGGTTTTACCAGGCCCTTGGCCTCTCCTGGGACTGCTGGAAACTAATCGTCTGTTTTTCAGAATTTTTTTTTTTCCATTTAAAAATTTGTAATACTGTAAAATCTACATGAAAATGACCATTTTGACCATTTTTAAGTGTACAGTTCAGTGGTGTCGAGTGCATTCCCATTGTTGTGTAGCCATCAGTTACCACCATCTCCAGGGCTTTTTCATTTTGCAAAACTGAAACTTGCTGTCTGCTAAACACTAACTCCCTCGCCCCCCTCCCCAGCCCCTGACACCCACCATTCTCCTGTCTGTCTATGAATCTGACAGCTCTAGGGACCTCCCGTAAGTGGAATCATACAGCATTTGTCCTTTTGGGTATGGCTTATTTCACTTAGCAGATTGGCCTTAAGGTATAAACACGTGTCAGGATTTCTTTTCAAGGCTGAATAATAATAATGAATTACGTGTCTGGTTAGAGCACATTTTGCTTGTCCGTTCTTCCATTGAGGGACACTTGGATTGCTTCCACCTTTTGCCTATTATGAATAATGCTGCTCTGAACACGGATGTACAGATATCTGTTCAGGTCCTTGCCCTTGATTTTTCTGGGTCTATATCTAGAAGATGCCGGATCATATGGTAACTCTAAGTTTAAATTTTTGAGAAACCATCGTTCTGTTTTCCATAGTGGCTGCACCATTTCACATTCCCGCCAACAGCACCCGAGGGTTCCAATTTCTCCACATCCTTGCTCACTTTTATTATTTTGTTTTTGTTATTGTTTTTTGTTTTGTTTTGGTGCCAGCCACCCTTGTGGATGCAAAGTAGTATCTCACTGTCGTTAGGATTTTTCTTTTTAACCAGAAGGGTAGAGGGTGACAAAGCTTCTGGCCAAGTCTTGTGCTGGGAATACAGATCAAAAGACAGGATTTTTAGAAAAAATTGAGGAGGCCAGAGCTGAAAGATGGCTTCTGGCAGCAGGATTTGGGCACGTTTTTGAGGTCAGAGGTGGATGAGACCAATTCGTCATAATTCAGGGCATCTCCTCCCAGCTCAGCTCTCTTGAAGCAGAACCAGGCAATGGGGTCTCCATGGAGCCGAGAAAGAATTTCCACCCACCCCCCACAACTTCATGTGTCCTATCATCCATAACATGTGTCACTTATGAAGAGTCTACTGTGTGCCAGGCCCTACATGTGTCCTCACGAATCCTCACATCTGCTCTATGAGGCAGGTATTAAAAACTTCCTGTTATGGATGTGGAAACTGAGGCTCAAGGAGGTGAAATAATTTTCTCGAGGCCCCACAGCCGCTCGATGGCTCAGAGATTCCCTGGGGAGCCAGACAGGGCTGATCTCCAGCCTTCAGGAGCTTTAAGTCAGCCTTTACCTCACGAGGTGATGCTGAGTCAAGTTAACTGTGGGAATACACAGGCCTGGCAGTCAGGGAGGGCTTCCTGGAGGAAGGGGCACCTGAATGCAGCCTGAACGATGAGAGCTGGCTGGGGGGAGTGGGAGTGGGTGAGGTGAGCAGGGGCCCACACTTCTGTCCTGTCTCCCCAGCTTTTCTCTCTGCCAGCCTCGGGGTACTCGAACCCTCGGAGACTTACACCCTGCCCATGACCAGGTCCAGCTGGGAGCCCTGGCTGGTTTCTCCATTTCCATCACGCCCTTCCACCTGCTCCACAGGGGCCCAAGCCATGGCTGAACCCACTGGGCAGGGCCCCAAGAACCCACGTGTGTCCAGTGTGACGGTCCAGCTGGAGATGAAGGCTCTGTGGGAGGAATTCAACCAGCTGGGCACAGAGATGATTGTCACCAAGGCAGGCAGGTGTGAGCAGCGGGTGGGGGTGTGCGTGTGTGGCGGGGGCAGGGCCCAGGCTGGAGCCGTGTTCAGACTGTGGGCCCCGCCCTCCTGCAGGAGGATGTTCCCCACCTTCCAGGTGAAGATTCTAGGCATGGACTCGCTGGCCGACTACGCCCTGCTCATGGACTTTGTGCCCCTGGGTGACAAGAGATACAGGTCTGGGGGCCAGCCGGCAGGGGGAAGCAGCTCAGACCTTAGATGCTAAGATGGGGAAGTCCACACCTAGCTACACTCTGGAGAGGCAGGGGCCTGTCGGAACTGTCAGAGAGGCCTATCCTGGGACAACAGTGGGGAGCCTGGTGGCAGCAGGGAGCCCAGCCCAGGGCAGCCGACAGTCTCAAGTGGGAAGTAGGCTAGCCTGGGCAGGAAGAGTGGGCTAGCCCAGGGCAGCAGGTGTAGTCACAGGGAACTCAGGGCCCCATGGCAACCTTGGAGCCTCAGGCTCCTCATGTGCAAGATGGGGACAGTGCATGGGGACAGTGACGGCCCCTTTGTCCTGCCAGTCGTGGCTCCAGGTGGGGGCAGCCGATGAGGTGCCGTGAGGTGCAGAAGGGGCGCCCTCACCGCCTCACTCTCCTCCCCAGGTACGCCTTCCACAGCTCGGCCTGGCTGGTGGCGGGCAAGGCGGACCCGGCCACGCCCGGCCGCGTGCATTTCCACCCTGACTCACCGGCCAAGGGAGCGCAGTGGATGCGCCAGATCGTGTCCTTCGACAAGCTCAAGCTGACCAACAACCTGCTGGATGACAACGGCCACGTGAGGCCCGGGGTCCAGGGCCAGGGGCTGGTCCTGCTCAGGGGATGCTGGGGCCTTATTGTGACAAAACTTGGAGCTGGGGCTGGCTGGACCTTGGTGCCCGGCACCCCCGCCCGCTCCTGATGGTCAAAGCTGGGGTATTGAGCTCACCTGGCCAGGGGCTGGACAGCAGAAGCGACTGTCCACCTTTTGGGGAAGTGGGCTGGGGTGTGGGCTGGGGAAGCGGGCAGGTGGGGAAGTGGGCTGTGGTGTGGGAATGTTCTAGCAAACACTGTCCTTCTCATGGACGATGTTCACTGATGCCCACCACGAACCAGGCCTATTGTAGGTGCCAAAACACAGCGCTGTTCACACTTCATCAGACAGACAAAGGCCCCTAGCCTCATTGCGCTCTCATCCTGGGGCAGGGGTGCATGGTAAGCAAGGGACGCAGAAGACACAGAATGTAGTGTCTCAGATGGTGCTAAATGCCCAGAAAAAAAGGACCTATGGTCAGGGGCTGAGACGGAGATGGCCATTCCTTTCCAGGAGCCCAGGAAGCTGCCGAAGTGGTATTTGAACAGGGACCTGAGGAAGCGGAGGAGGGAGCCTGTGCGTAGAGGAGGGGGGAAGCTGTCTCAGGCAAGGAAAGAGCAAGTGCAAAGGCCCTGAGGCCAGAGAATGCTGGGCGAGTTGGGGGAACTACAAGGAGGCTCCCTGTGTGGCTGGAGTGAAGCGAGGAGGGGAAGGGGCTTGGGGAGAGGGGCTGAAGGTGGCCAGAGCTGATCTGCAGGGCCAGCTGGCTGCAAAGAAGAGCCTGGCTTTTACTCTGTACGGGGTGGGAGTCACAGGAGGGTTTTGAGGAAGGGGCGACATGCGGTGTCTCACTGGAGCTGGTGTGTGGAGAATGGGCGGAGGAGCCAGGCGGAGGCAGGGAGACCAGCCAGGAGGCAGCCGAGCAAACACAGGTGAAAGATGATGGAGGCCACACAGGGCAGAGGCAATGGGGTGGGAAAGCTGGTCAGATTCTGGATAGTTCTGAAGGCAAAGTGGACAGCCAGACGTGGGTGTGAGAAGGCGAAGCAGCAAGGACACTCAGACACAAAGGGCCTTCGACACAGAACTGCTGGCTCTCAAGTTCAGAGCCTTCGCCGTCGGCACAGTGAAGCGGGGGCAGCAGGCCCAGGGCGGCCCCTGCCCCGGGGAGAGGGGCTCCGGCCTCGGTGAGAGCTCGCTGCTGTCCCCCTCCCCTGCGCCCCCCACAGATCATCCTCAACTCCATGCACCGCTACCAGCCCCGCTTCCACGTGGTCTTCGTGGACCCACGCAAGGACAGCGAGCGCTACGCCCAGGAGAACTTCAAGTCCTTCATCTTCACAGAGACCCAGTTCACAGCCGTGACAGCCTATCAGAACCACCGGGTGGGTTGGGCCACAGCTCATGGGGCACTTGCCGGCCCACTTCACAGGGGCAGAGATGTAGGCCCAAGGCTTTCAGCCCCTGCATGCGCACAGACCCCTGCCCTGCTCTCCCTCCCTGGGACTCAGCGAGCACCTGCCCAGTCATTTCGCTGCCTGGGTCCCAGGGCCTCCTGATCGGAAGGTCCCGGTAGGACAGGATGACTGAGCCTGGGACATCACGGCCTTTCCCTGGCTCAGGGCTGGTCCCTAACTTCACTTTCTCCTCTGCAGATCACCCAGCTGAAGATCGCCAGCAACCCTTTTGCCAAAGGCTTTAGGGAGAGTGACCCAGACTCCTGGTACCATCCGACCCCTGCCAGTTCTATCCCACTGCCCTGACCCAGCCCCTCCCCCCATTCCCAGGCATCTCCTAAGGCCTCTGCTTCTGACCCCTGTTTCAGGGTCATGCCCATTATTTGTCCTGGGGTCCCACTGTCTTACTCTGAAACAGACCCTTGGCCTGGGTTCTTCACCTTGAGCCCCTGCCCCCATTCCTTCCCTTTGCATCTTCAGGATGGTGTCTCCACGGCCCCTGCTCGATGTCCCAGCCCGGAGTCATGGCAGCCTCAGCCCCTGCCTGTCGAAGGGCTCCACGGAGCAGAAGAAAGGTTAGCCCCCAGACCCACAGACACAGTGGGACCAGGGCCTGAACTGTGGGTGGGAAGCAAGGGGACAGGGCCACAGGGCCTCCAAGAAGGGGTTCCGGCATGCTCAGCAAGCCCACTGGGCACCCGTGTGGACAGAGAGGGGGAAGCAGAGGTTTCTGAGACAGAGAATAGGGCAGGGTCAAGGTGCTGAGAGCAGAAGTGGGGATGTCAGGTGGGCTTCCTGGAGGAGGTGTTTCCCCAGCTGGGCCTTGGAGGACCAGGAAGGGTTTGGATAGAGGGAGAAAGTGGGAGAGGAATTTAAGGCAGCAGGGAAAGTAAGAGCAAAGACAGAAGTGGGCAACTTGTGATGGGAGGAGCAGAGAAGCGGACAGGGCAGGCTGTGGATGTGAGGGGAGGTCTGGGGTCCACTTAGACTACTTCCTCCCTCAGACCCCAACAAAGCTCCAGCTTCTGCCTCCAGGACCCCTGCCCGGCTCCACCATCAGCTGTTGGCTCCCCCTGAAGCTCTGCTGGCCCCAGCCACCTACCGGCCTCTCGCCTACCCGGACCTGTACCCTGGAGCCTCGGGCGCTCTTAGAATCCCAAAGGCTCGACCGACACCATACCCCCTCCCCAATATCCAGGCTGACAGGGATCAGGAGGGCCTGCCCCTTCAAGCTGGGCTGGGGCTCCTGTCCCCTCCTGCCACGTGCCTGGGTTCCCACCAGGCCTCTCAGTGATGGTGGCTGCCCTGAGGACAGTCCTCTTACCCTGAAGCCCATGCTCTGCAGCCTCGCCTCTGCAGAGACCTCCTCCCTTCCCAAGGAGAGCAGTACAGGTGGAAGCCCAGAGAGAGGCCCCCTGCTGAGTCACTGTAAGGCTGGGATGGTGCCGGACTTGGAACCAGGCCCCCTACCTCTCAACCTGCCCCCTTCAGCCTTGGGTGTGATTCCTCCAAACCCTGTTTTATCTCTCCCTTATCCCCAACATTAAACCATTTGGCATGGCTGGTCAGAGCACTTCTGTCCCTGGGGTCGGGGCGGAGGGCCTCAGGAACGCCCAGACCGCAGTCCGGGCTGCAGACATGCCAAAGCTCTGCCGAGTGCAGCTGGCATCCCTGGACACACCAAGCGATGGTAAAGGAGGTGACACCAGCCCGGTGGAGGGGCTGTGGGGGAGGCTGACTGTTACCGCTCCCTGCCTATGTGCCCAGATGAGGACAGAAACTGCAGCTCAGAGAGGCACTTGCTCAAAGTCAAAGCAAAGTATGGTGACACCTACTGCTCCACGTTTAGATGCTATGTATAAGGCTGGGGTCGTCTGGTCCCCGACGAGCCAGTTCTGGGGGACGAGTGCAGAACCACAACAGGCAACGACTACAAGGGCCAAGAATGGGTGGGAGGAGGGATTTGAGAATCTGATCAAGACTGGAGACAGAAAAGCTTCTAAAGAAAGTGACATTTAAACCAACACCTAAAGGGGTAGAAACTGCGGGGCAGAGGGGTCAGGACGGGGGACATCCAAGGGCAAAGGCCTGGGACTGGAGTGGATCCCTTAGAGCGGTAGGGCGCAGCGTGCGCCACCCAGCGGAACCTGGCAAGAGGGGCCGGAGGGCGCTCCTTCCTGGGTCCCTCACGTCCTCGGCCTCCTACGGAGAGTCCCGTGAACTCCCTAAACGCCGACTCTGCCCGTCCTGGAGCATTTCCTGTTAGGTCCTTTGAGAAGTACGGACACACGCGAGCGCGGAGGGACCCGGAGCCCTGCGGGGCCTCAACAGCAAGACACCCTGACTCCCGAACTCCGCGGTCAAGAGGGGCGGGTCCGGTTGCTGGGCCGTGTACTACCCGAGATGCTCCAGGGTAGCTCGAGGACGCAGATCCGCGGACGGTCCACCGCAGTTCGCCCGCGGCCCATGCCCGCCCCTCGCCCGCCCCTCGCCCGCCCCTCGGTCGGCAGCCCGAGGTATCTGGCCTCGCCCCTTCTGCCCCCGCCCCCGGG